AAGCAAAGCGTGCTGCTTATATACTGCCCCATAGTGCTTCAAGCACTCTCTGAGCGGTTTACAAGTTAATTATGCAGGCTACACATTGCAAGCTGGGTACTCATTTTATTGACCTCGGAAGGATAGAAGGCTGAGTCGACCTTGAGCCACTACCTGGGATTGAACCCCAGGTCGTGAGCACAGTTTTGGCTGCAGTACAGCGTTTTAACCACTGCGCCAAGAGGCTCCTTTGGAAGTTTACAAAGATCAGGATCAAAAGCGTCTTAAGCTTGGATTCTGATGGATCAGGAGTTGGAAGAACTGGTTTGCTTTGTTTCTTCATAATCTTTGGAGCTCCTGCCACCAGCTTCCATTGGTGCTTCTTTCTGATGGTTGTTTGCTGGACTAGATATTTTCCACCATTCATTTCTCTAGCTGTGTTTCAAGGATAATTCCAAAAATTCAGCTTTCTTCGAGCAGGTCAAACACATCATATAACAGAGTGTCTGTGGGACTCCAGCACTTTCAGAGTTTATGTGAGGGATGGCATGATGGAACAGATTTTACATGTTGTTGTTGTTTAGTCGTTCAGTTGTGTCCGACTCTTCATGACCCCATGAACCAGAACAGGCCAGGCCCTCCTGTCTTCCACTGCCTCCCAGAGTTGGGTCAAAGTCATGCTGGTCACTTCGGTGACGCTGTCTTTTACATAGAAAGCTACAAAAACCAGCCACCCTTGTACAAAGAAAGCAAGCCTACCAGGAAGGTTCTTAGTGCCTAGTCTCAAAGTGACAGAGAGATGGACAGAGGGAGGTGATATATTTATGTTGTGTTGCCCCCCCATCCATTCCACCATCAGTGTTAAGCTGGTGTAATGGGGGTGGGTCCCATCGAATTCTGTAGCTCTTTAGTCGCTGGCTCTGGAGTAGAGAACGGGTCACTTGACTCAGAACTGCACCTGGAAGGAGTCCATTTGCACTACCGCAATAGCTGGTAGCTCTTCAGAAGTATAACTCTGCCTCTTTCTGTTCCTTGGTCTGTCTTCATCCTTCCCGCCCTCCCTCCCTCCCATTAGACGTGAGAAGATGCCTGCCTCTGTAGGAGAGGATGGGGCCGACACGGATGCCACCACTGGACCAGCAGCAGAAAAGGAAGAGGTGAGGTCTAGGGTAAACACAGAGAGAGAAAGAGGCAAGAAGGACTTTTGGTGGCGAGTGGGTGAGGGTGGGGGTTAGCCAAATTTGGTTTTCCTTGGAAATTTCTTTATTGAGAAGAAGCAGGAGTTAGCAGGAGTTTCTTTATTGAGAAGAAGCAGGCACTAGCGACAGAAGCTTAGGTTTTCGCTTTCAATAGGATAGCAAAGGTATTTTACCAGCAGAAAATATAGAAAATAAAATGGGGTGAGCTATCTTGTTCTGCATTTTTGTTTTGTTTTTTGAGAAGCAGCCATGTTAATCGATTGTAGAGAAAACAGTCGCATGAAGCATGCTTAAGTGGATTTAGAATAACGTATGCACGCTAGGCCAGCGTTGCCTTCACCAGATGTCTGCCTTTTTCTACGATATATGGATCTGTACGGCGTCCTGTGCAGACACACAGAAGGCAGCTTTCTCAGCAGCCTTCCCTGTGCCTTGGAGCATGGACCCTGCCTGTCTGCAAAACAGGGGGGATGGGCTCTCTTGCCTGGCAAGGGCCACGCCTGCTAGCAGTTACTAACAGAGCCTCATTCTCCGCAGTTCCTCTCCTTGAACGACATCCAAGATGCCAGCAAAGCAAACATGCACTTGAAGGATGACCGGCAGCCCACTGTGAGTCTTTCCGCCATCCCCATCTCTCCTGTGGTTGGTGCTTCTGGGGCGGGAGGGCTTGGGGAAACCTGGAATCTCTTTGTTGTCCGCCTGATCTGAAGTCCACGAAGCACAACACCTTTCTAGGGAGACTAAAGATGATGAGAGACACACACATTCATGTCGCCCTCACTGGATTTGCAGAGAATAACCCAGCCCTAAGTGACTCACGGAGAATCTAGAGCATGCTTTGGCTGTGGGGAAATGCAACTGCGTTCTTTAATGATCCATCCCCACTTAAAGTTGGCCTGTAGGATGGAACTTCAAAGACTTCTAAAAGGGCCTTTTGTTACTCATCTCGGCGCCCGTCAAAGCATCCCATAGCTGTGGAGTTCCCATTGGTGGGCTGTTGCCCTCCTGATTTGCCTGGGCATTTCTGCCCGTGATCTGGCCAGCCACTTCAGGGACATTCCCCCTTATTTGATTCTGGTCTGCTGGATCTTTTCTTTGCTTAAGAAAGTAACGGGTCTGCAGTGCCGAAGGCCTTCCCAGCTGTTGGCGATTTGATTAGCAAGGGAACCGAGCCGTCCTGCCTTTCCTTTCTTGCCCTCTGTTCGGCTGCGCTGCATGGGCTCCAGCCCTCGTTCCCGGACACCAGCTGATCTTTTGACAGTGCCAGCAACTCTCAGCAAGAGAAAGAAGAGCCCTTAAGCAGCTGAGGAGGGATACCCAGTAGACGGGGGTCTTTGAGCCCCCTTCTGCTCTATGAGCCCAGTGGCCATTGGTCGTTCCTTGCTGCTTACCATCTGCCCCAAAATACGAGGCAACAAATAACATCTTCCTGTCTCTTGTTTCCGTGACCACTAGCCTCGTGCCTTCCCCAACCGTGTGGGAACCTGCTGTCTTGTCTTTGCAGATGGTCAGTATTGTCCCCTTGACCCCAATGTCCCTGGTTCCACCAGAAGAGGCAGAAAAGAAGGACAATCCCCTCTTCAGGTAAGCCCCGGCTGCTTCCCGAGGACTTCAGAGAGGGAAAGGTGTGTGCCTCCACTCTTGCTTCTTCCTGGCAAGCTGCTACAAGGCTGGCCTGAAGATGGAGCGCTTTGCTGTTTTTCCCTCTGCTTACCGACAGTCTTTCTCTTTGCAGCCGGAAGGGAGAGATGCTGGCGAGCCGGAGGGATTTCCGCATGAACACGTGCACCCCGCACACCAACGGCACTTTCATGCTGGAGCTGGCAGGACTCTCGCCGACCCAGTGCCCCCCAGCCAGGGCCTGTGAATGGGGACGTGGCAACTCCATGGGTAGGCGGAGGCGCGGTGCCCCTTATTCCACCAAGATCACATCAGGGACCTCACTCAGGGCTCCTTCGTCACTTGAGGAGTTAGGCTAAAGCCGGGAAAAGAGCCCCCTGGGAGCAAACCCAGTTCTTTGGAATCTGATTTTCGCTTCCCGAAGCGATCAGCCAGAAGCACCTAGAAAACCCACAAGCAGGGCCTGAGGGCAAAAGCACGTTATGAGAGAGCAGCCTGGTAGCCTGCCGTATTCCTCAGCTCTTTGTTTTAAATGTTCTTCTGTTGAAACACAGGTCAGTGCAACATTTTAAAAAAACTTGGTGAAAAAACATTAACAAGCATTGCGCTCCATCTTTGTTGACTGGAAGTGGAGCAAAATGGGATTAAAGGAAGCAGCAAAGTTTCGCCCAACCCAGCATCTCTGGCTGAATGTAAATGGAATTTGTAGTTCTGCAAAAAATAAAAATAAAAAGCCCAAACCCGTCTCCTTCTCCACATGCATTACAGAACATCTGGACTGATCTTGGGGTCTCTAAAAGGGGCGGAAAGAAATCAAGTTTCCGTAAAGGGTTTCCTGCTCCTTTTCCTCCCCCATGTCAAGTTTTTCAGCAAGTGAGGTTGACCAGACCTCAGCATCTAAACATTTAAAATATGGTATTACGATCTTACCTCTTCCAAATGTCAGCTCTAGCTGTCAACAGGGATGTTATAGTCAAGTTTTGATACAATAAGGAATTATTTCAGTGACCTAAAACTGGCAGAAGAGAAAGCTGACTGCAGCCGTCTCTGGTCTGGCTGGTTACCTCGAGGGTTGAGAGGAAAGGAGGAGGAAGACCCCTGTACCTGGAGAGGCCCTTCTCCCCTGCTTGGTCTCCAATCCCCACTCTTGCCGTGGCTGCCGTGGTCCTCCGTGCCCGTTGGGGTGGGCGGTGACAGCCCTTTAGAGTGGCCGCTCTCCTGCTTACTTTTTCTGTTCCTCCCCGGCAGGCATTCAGAGCCTTCCTCCTGCAGCGGGTTCCACCCCCATGGAGGTCAGTGTGTGCAACACACCCGTTCAGGCCCTGGACTTCTCAGGGGAAGGAGGTAAGTCGTGGCCAAAATGGAGGGGGAGGGGGAGGGGGAGACCACTTCTACCTAACTTCTATGATCAATGTTCTTATCTAACTTAAAACAAAGTGTGAATTCCAGTGTGGTGGCTCCCCCATAGAAGGGGGTAAAAACCTCTTGTGGGTTTAGCTGAATTCCCTGAAGATGTTTGGAGGCTTCAACAGGTGTGGATATTGTGGGAGGGAGGGTGGTGGTTGAGGGTGCCTCTTGCCTATGTTGATTTGAGCAACCCTGTCCTGCTTGGCGCAGCACCTGATAGTCCCTGAAATGCCTGTTTCCACACGGAGGGGTGCGGCGGGTGCAGGATGCCAGACGAGTGGAGCAGCAAGAGGTTGCCCTCCTTTGGGGCCAGACTAACCAGGTGCTTCCTTCTTGTTCTGACCCTGAATGTAGGGGAAGCAGAACCGGTGGGGGAGGATGACGAGGGCTGCGACCACTTCCTGCCAGGTGTTCCAGAAGAAGCTCCTGAGGTTTCCACAGCTGGGGTGGAGGAGCGCCTCGCCCATCAGACGGTATTTGCTGGAGCTGAGGGTTAAGGGGTTCTTTGCTTTCAGCGGGGGTGGGCAGGGTCCGGGTGTCATGACGGCGCTTCAAAGCTTCACTCTTCTACCTTCTAGAGTGCTCCCAAGATGAAAGGATACATGCTGCGGGAGAGACCCCCTGCCCAGGACGACCGCGCCCACCTCAAGGTAAAAACTGGGCAGAGAACTGGAAGGGGCAGGTCTGGAGAGAAACAGCACACACTGCTGGCCGTCCCTGGACCAAAACCAAACCAAACCAAGAGGTTTCAGATTTCAACCTTCTTCCTTGGCTTTTCGGGCCTTAAATGGAAAAATTGACCACATGGCTATCAAACAGTCTACACATTACCGAGGAAAACAAAGCCTAGTCTTGGCTGGGGCTGCACCACTTAATGTCAGTTTTGCACTGACTCTTGGCTGGGGCTGCACCACTTAATGTCCGTTTTGCACTGACCTTATTTACACCGAATTGGCTCTCAGCCCAGTTTATTTTGTGGCCTCGGGAAACCGAAGATGGGGGCCCGTGTCCTAGGCTTGACTTTGCGAGACGCTGGCCCTGTGCTCATGTCCATTCTTAGTTTGTCCCCTGGACTGCTTGAGATGGTGATTGAACCCTGATTTGAGGGGGGAGGATGTGCTGTGACTTTGCCCGGCCTTTCCTCCCTTGAGTTAGCCCAGTCTGATAGGGGATCGTGAAGGCTAAGGCGGTCCCTTGCTTGATACAGGTTAGGGTTTAGAGGCTGGCACGCAGAGTCAGCCTCTGGGAGTCCCCTCCTGCCCCCTGTAGTCGGGTTCCCCGTCCTTACTCCAGTGTAACCAAACCACTAATGCCCCAGATGGGTCATTTGTAACATATGGACACCTGCTGCTCCTGCCATCCCTCCCCACTGATTGTACGGGCTGACACTGCTGGGAGGGGAGGTCAAACGTTGCCCCTCCCCTGATGGTGTACAGTGCCTGGAATTAATTTATCACCGGACAGAGTGCTTTTCTGTAGCCCAAAGTAGACAAGGCCCAGGCCCCAGCTGTCGGCTTCTCTAACCGGGTTGCCCATTGAAAGTGGCATAGACACACACACACATACACAGACGCACTGAGGTTCAGGACAGACCAGATGAAAATAAAGCGGACAGCAGTTTCTCTTCCAGAAGATGGGATGATGGTCTGTCACTCTGGTGGTTCGAACAAAGGGATTAATCCGATTCACAATAACTCAATGGAGCCTCCAGGATTAGAAGCAGATTACCTGTGAAGTACAAATTCTGGGGACCAACAGGCAGGAACGGTTGCTGCTCTCTTATCTATTCTGTGGAAGATTCAGAACAGGAAACGGGACAGTGGCCAAGGTGGGCCTCGGCTGCGATCCAGCGCAATTTCTTGCCCGTTCTTGGCACGTGGCGAGGCCAGGCTGAGATCCTGCTTGGTGAGGCTTGGCCTGACTTGGCCTGGGTTTGTCTTTCAGGAGACTCTGGACCCCTGGCGCAGCCTGGACCCCTTCAGCTCCTCTGATGAGAAACCCTTGAAAAAAGGTACTGCAGGGCGGAGCGGGCAGAGAGCCCCGCTCCACCATAACCCCACACCACCCTATCCCACAGCTAGATTGGGACCCACTGGATCCTAACGGAGCAGCCAAGAGAAATCCATGCAATGGGGGTAGGCGTGGGGTCTTTCCTCTTGGAGGTGGCAGCTTCACCCTGGTGGGGTGGGGGGAGTGGGGCGTGGCTGAACCTCATTGCCCATCATGGCTCTCCCCATGGCATGAAGTCCAAGAGAGAATTCAGAATCATTTGGAAGCCGGAAGAGCCGTAGCGGGAGGAGCGTCGTCCGTGGGTTCTCCTATCAGGGAGGCTTCTTCCTGCCTCCCTTTCCCAGCCCCAGGTACCAAAGCCAGGAGGCGCTCCCTGCTCGGCCCTCCGGCCCATGGGCTTCCCCCTTTTCTCCGGCTTCAGGCAGGCCCTTCACTGTCCCCCGTGGCCTGGAGGACCTTCCCGGCACCAAGCGGAAGAGGAGGCTCTCCAGCAAACTGCAGGAGTTCACGGCGTGGTTTTCAGCCATGGGTGAGTCCAGAGGCTCCAGGCTGCGGCCGCGGAAGGAGGGGGAGTGCCCATCTGGAGGGGGCCTGGCCTCGGTTGGCCGACATCATGGGAAGAGAGGCTTTTGAGGCTGGCGCCGGCCTCTCTGTGAGGCTCCCGCGTCAAGAGCGCGTGTCCTCCACCAGGTTTGCTGTGCTTCCACTCAATGCAGGCCTTCAGGGGTTCCTTCCGGCGAGTAGGCCCCCTTCCTGAGGCCCCTCCCCTTTGCAGAGTCTCTGTCTTTGAGGGTGGGGATCCCTTGGCCCTTTGACATCCTGGAGGTCTTTTGGAGACGAGAGTGAGAGAAGGAGCGAAGGAGGGAAGCAAGGCCGAGAGAAGCCTCTTCTGGTGTTTTTCCCTTTGGCTCCCTCTTTCAGCTTGTCTTTCGCACCTGCCGCTTGTCTGCCAAAGGCATGGCCGGTTGGGCTCACCGTGTTCCCATCGCAAGCCCCAGAGGGTGGTTTCCATATCGTGGAGGAAAGGGCTTCTGTACTTTTTAGTGGGCGTACGCATGAGGGCGCTGTCTGGATAGCTCAGCGGTTTAGATCTCTGGCTGCGGAGACGGAGGTTGGGACTTCGATTCCCCCTTTGGTGCTTCCTTGACAGAGGCTGGACTGGATGATCCAGAAGGCCCCTTTCCAGCTCTGCAATTGTATTATTATGTCCTTACAAACCCATTTTTGTGTCTCTCCAGAGCACGGCCGAGCTTGCAACCAGAGAAGCAGGAGGAAAGGACCAACATTTGCTGGTGAGTTGTGCTGCTTGGGGGGGGGGAGGGGAGACGTGCCGTTCTCTGACCTCCTTTTCCGTGGGCTCCTGCGCTTCTGGCCCCAAGCGGAGTGTTTGGGACTCCTGTTTGGGGGCAAGCATGGAACTGAGTGACTCTCGCTGCAGTCCCCCCTGCACTGCTTCCTTGGCTTCTGTCCTGGGTCTCGACCTCTTGCGGGGCTGCCGCAACCATGGCCTCTGTGTTCATGCCTGATGAGGCACAGAGAAGTTCTCCATCCATCTCACGAGCTGCTCCTGCTCGTGCCTTCCACCCAGGGTGGTCGGGAGGGGAGGGGCAGGATGTTTTGAAGAGTCCTTAAATACAGAACGTCTCGCATAGAGCGGAGCCTGCCTTTGCCAAAGGGAAGCTTTTGCGCTGGGGCTTGCCCCTGAGTTGGCACGCGTCGGTTCAAGGGCTTCTCGGCGGGCAAGGATCCAAACCCTTACGAAGCTTACAGCTTTCCTTGCTCGTGTGGCTTTGCGCCTTCCTGTGTCCTTCTCCCTGTCCGCTGATGCCAAGGCAACCACCGCAGTACGGCTCATTGCGGTTAGAGAATCCCAGAAGAACAGAGTCGGGAAGGGGGTCTCTAAGGCCATCCAGTCCAACCCCCAGCTCAAGGCAGGAATCCAGACGAAAGCAGACCTGACCAGGGTGGTCTGGTTTTCCCTTGAATGCCTCCAGCGTTGGAGCATTCACCACCTCCTGAGGTTATGGGTTCCATTGTCGTACTGCTCTAACAGTTAGGAACATCCCCCCCCCCCGATCTATCCCACCTGTCACCCAGTGAAGGGGCTAAGGTAGCTCCAACCACCCAGTAAAGACAGATTTAGTTTTTAAAAAATCAGCAAAGTGGGGGGAGGGGAGGTCAAAACATAATTAAATAGCTTAGTGCATTAAAAACAATCAGCAAAGCAAAGCAATCAGCAAGTGAGAGCTCTTTCAAAGACATTTAGAAGCACAATGAGAAGGTCTCCTGTCGGTTGGTGGAAGGACAGGAGAGTCTTGGCTCCCTAGGAAGGAAGCTCCAGACGTTCAAGACAGCTGCTGAGAAGGCCCTCATCAAATGTGCCTGTTTGAGGGTGGTGGGACCAAGAAAAGCCCCTCCCCCCCAAAGCTCCTTACCACTTCTATATGCTCCTAGGGTTGGGGAGAAGCCGATGTGGCCCTTTGGGAATAGCCTGGAACCAAGCAGCATAGATTCTTGCAGGTTACCGCCAGCGCTTTGAATCCTGCCTGCAAACAGACGGGGCAGCCAGTGAAACTTCTCTAGCAAGGGATTTGTTACACAACCCCCATCTCCCTACTCAGCGTTGGCAGTCAGCCCCCCAAACGTCCAGAAGGATTTGCCGCTCCTGCCCTATTGAGGGCCCGTGTACCACCAGCGGTCCTCTTCCCAGCACTCTGGCAAAACTGACTCGCTCCTGGGGTCAGCCTGGTGCCCAGGAACGACACCTCTTGGCCCAAGGGAGCCGCCGCTCCTGTTACCCCTCAATCAGGCCACCCGCACTGCCTGAGCCGGCCGAGAGGGACGTGGTGGTCGAGGGTGGCGCTGGTCTCAAGAGCTTGCAACAGGTCTCGCAGGGAGAGGGAGAGGGTCTGGAGTGGCAGAAGAGGGGTTTGAAAAGGGTAAGAGTGGACTCTCCCCTCTTAAGAGGTCAGTCAGGAGAGGTGGGCTTTTGGAAACGGGTGTGGGAGGCAGTTTTGGAAAAGGGAGGCAGTCGGGGGAGAACCGTGGGGCAGGAGCCTCAGGCGGCAGCTTGACAGGTTGGAAGGAAAGAGGGAAACGCAGATGCCCGAGTGACTTGGCCGCCCTTTGTGACATGGGAAGCAGGAGAACGAGGGATGAAGCCTGACCCCCAACCCCCAATAGAGTCAGGGCGGGCCGAGTGACTTGGCAGCCCTTTGTGACATGGGAAGCAGGAGAACGAGGGATGAAGCCTGACCCCCAACCCCCAATAGAGTCAGAGCGGGCAGCCAAGGATCCTCCAGCACCAGCTGCTTGCGGTCCCTTTCCTCTCCCCCCACCCCACCCCCGCAACCGCAAGGGCTCCACTGTCCAGGGTCCTGATCCTGTCTTTTAATGTCTATGCAGATTTAGAGGTCCTGTACTGGAAGCATATGAAAGAGCGCCTGGCTATCCAGAAGAAGCTGCAGAAGAGGATGATGGTGAGGGAAACCAAAGGGGCGGTTGGGTGCCTGTGCGTCTTCCTCTCTGTAACCGCTTTCCACGCTCCTGCCAACACATTCCAGGCACTTCTCTTTCAAATAACAGCATGTCATTGGACAGATATGGTGAAAAAGGGGAAAAGGTGGCCGGGATAGGGGGACATCGGAGGACCTCCATGCACGGTTGGGTTGGTCCTCCTGTGCATTTTGAGAGGCAGGCTACTTTCTTGAGCCATCAGCTGTGAAAGCGAAAAAGCGAAAGACCCCTGGACGCCAGGCAAGAATCCAGTGTGACTTCGCCTGCAAAATTGGCTCCACCAAGGAGTGCCTGCCCTGGGAGCAGGTGGGGAAGTAGCGGATCCAGGACTCTGGGGAGAAATAAC